AAATAAATAAAATCTTAAAAAAAAAAAAAAAGAATTACCTGCTTTAAGAAAAAAAAAAAAGAATTACCTGCTTTATTCTGTTTTAACACATTAAGCATTTCTTCAGTTGAGTTCATTGAGGATTCATACCCCAGAGATCTTAACAGAAAATGAGAGAATGGGTACAAAAGACAGAAAATGGACTAGTTGGGTAGCTGGAGGGGTAGAGACAAAACCAAAGAGGAAAGACACAGACAGACTTGTGAAAGCAGGTGAACTTCTAGGTGATTTATCTGCTTTTAGCCACAAGAACAGAATTGTTCCAACTGGAGCATTGGTCCCCTGAGATGATCAGTAAACACATGGTTTCACTGACGGTCAAAACAGTTTGTCCAGAATATTTCAAACCATATTTTCAGCTTGGAGTCTCAAAGCACATTAACATATGAAGGATTCTGAGAAGGCCTACGGTAAAGAAACCTGCTTTATTTTGTTTATCCCATAATACTGATCAATATATAACACGGGTCAGTAACAGTTGGAGAATCCTTCCACTGCCATTATTTTAGAGCTGAGAAACAGAAATTCCCATGAAGAACAAATTTTGGGGAGCTAGTGAACCATGATAAAACTGATGGAATGTAAAGGGGGACTAATGTTTAGTGAATGCCTATTACATGTACCAGAAATGGTGCTAACTTTTTAAAAAATATTTGCTCCCTCCTGATAAGGTTAAGGTAATAGTTTTTAAGTGGGAGGGATATTTACAGTGCTTTATGAAAGAATGTCATGGCACATTTTAGCTGTCTTTAAGTGGGGGCCTAAAAGCTCTTTTAAGAATGAAGGATCTTGAGCAATCACGTAGCCCATATTCATGCCTATTGATTTTGCACTCACTGAGACATTTGGAGTGTCAAAGTTCATAAATACTGGAAGTAAAACCAATGAATCGCCAAAGTAGTAATTAGTAAAAGTTTATTGTGCACACGCCAAAAAGACAGTTTGCACACTGGAGTACTCACCCCAAAACGTGGAACAAGGCTCAGGGGCATATTATTATAAAGCAGCTTATGTAGTGAGGAAGCAGTGACTGCCTCCTCTTCACAATTATTGGTTATAAGATTAGAATCTTCTTAAATGATAGGGAATTGGTCAGTGCTTACCTCATATCAACCTTGGGAAAGGTTCAAGTTTTGCTTATAATTTCCAGAGGCATAAACAAGAAATGAACCAGGTCAAGTCGGTCTCACAAAATAAGCTAAATTAAGCTTTGTTCGTATGACTAAACTGGTTTTGTCTGCCCAGGCAGTTTTTAGGGCTGGTCTCCAATTGTTTTTGATTTTAACAACCCTCCCCCCCCTTTTGGTCATTCTCTCAGAAGGCTGAGAGTATGATCAACCACGATAGTGGTATTCCCCATTACCACCACTGATGTAGTTAAGCTGAAGAATCACACATTCGCTGTTTCCATTAGTTGAGTCATCAGGATGTGTTCATAGGACCAGCATATATTTCATACAGTTCATAATGTAAGTATATATGAAAGTGATGTAAAAGAGCAGTTTTATAGTGTTAAAGGAAAGAACTACGTTTTATTCTTTCTTTGTATTCTGCAAGCCATCTATCCTAGCATGGTGCCAGGTGCATAGCATTTAGTATGTCTTCTGAAATGAATGAATGGAAATAGTAGTGGTAAATTGCACTAAAATTATACTTATTTTGCACAGTATAATATAACAAATGTAACTTAATAATAAGACATTTTGCCCTGGGGAACAAGCCAGGATGGAGTCAGACTGTAATTTTTGAAATTTGGCGCTAAATTTCTGATGCTGTAACAAACAGCCTATGAGTACCACTCGGTCTCAGCTGAGATGGGTACCAGAAAATTCACTCACAAGACTTCCGTGTTAGAGATAAGGATTATTTTATGAAGCTGAATCTGGCTCCAGTTCTTTTGCAAGAAATTTAAATTTCCCTTTAAATAAACTGTTAATATGTTCAGTTTACTCCAACTTTTATTTTCTTTCTTCTCTACTTACTGTTTTTCTTCTTCATGTAACAGAAAGTAAAAAGCTACCTCTTTTCTTTTCCTGAAATGTTTATATACCGCTAAGAATGAAGCATTGAGAGGTGAGACTCGGGTCAGGAAGGAGGGAATACTGCACAATAACAGCTATTAATTTTGTGGAGAATAACAGATCTTAATTTCAGTTCTAAGTGTAGGCACATACAAAAACAACAACCATAAAATATGAGATTTCCCTTCCTTTCTTGTACACATTTGCCCAAATTGGCAATAAGACTGAATTGTGGGATATAGACTTCTTATATTTAAATGAATGAAAACAGGTTGCAATGAGTTAGAGAATGAAAAATGCTGTTGACTATTTTGGGGGTATGTTTTCAGACAGCATTAATGGAAGGGGAAGTGACTTGTGTTCGGGGCAACCAGACACTCCTTCAGTCACACACCCCAACCACCCTCTCATTTCCTGCTATCATCCTGCTCCCTTTCTAGCCTCTTTCCTTTGTCCTTTTTTTTTAAAATCTACATCTTAATACTTAAACCTGGAATGTAGCATTTACTCCGTCATGATTTGAAAACATAGTGACAGGTTTCTGACACATCGAATGTTCTTTGAGTCTTATCAGAGTTTACAAAGGGGAGGATGTGTAAAATAAACTGGAGTGATCTCTTGTAGGAATGGAATTCCGCTGTTGAGAAGCTGAAGAGTGATGCACTTGGGATTCTGCTGTCTAAGGGCTACGTGGAGAAAGAGCATCTACAGCTCTCTAACCAGAAACTGCATCAGCTTCAAGGAGAATGTGATCGGCTCATGGTGGAAAGGAAAACTTGGTTAAAAAAGGCAAATGTTTTTTTTAACAGCGCTAATAAGGTCAGTGTGAGGTCACGTTGGTAATTTTAGGTCATCAGGACAGACCAGTAAGAGACTCATTGCTTCAGTAGGCTGGAGCACATCACAGAAGTCTAGATTCTGTGTAGAGTTTCAAAATTAATAGCAACCAAAATGAGCTTTTAAAATGTATTCCTATCATGGCCATTATTTGGTTCTCAAAACGAGGAGACTCTATGCTTTAACTTGTAAAAAAAAATCCCATGAGGGCGCCTGGGTGGCTCAGTTGGTTAAGCAACTGCCTTCGGCTCAGGTCATGATCCTGGAGTCCCGGGATCGAGTCCCGCATCGAGCTCCCTGCTCAGCGAGGAGCCTGCTTCTCCCTCTGACCCTCCCCCCTCTCATGTACTCTCTCTCATTCTCGCTCTCTCAAATAAATAAATAAATCTTTAAAAAAAAAAATCCCATGAGAGTTTCATCATAGAGCTGTCATTGATCTGTTTGAGGGGAACTCTTGTGCCAACACTGCAGTGTTTCTCATGGAGTAAGGGAAATATCATAAAATATATCAAGATGAAAAGAACGCCTTGAAACCTTTACCAAAAAATACTTCCCTTTGAAAAATTCTCTTTCATTTATCAGGTAAAGATACATGAATATTGCAAGCCTTCTGCATGCAAACCACAAGGTTAGAAGCATAGCCTTAACCTGATTTACCCTGCCTTGATCTTGCCTTTTAAAGTCAGCCAAAGGGAAATCTTGCTTTGGACCATCTCCAGGTCTTGAGTTGGAGAGGGCTCTGCTTCTCCTGGTTGACTCATTTAATTTGATTGGAGCAGGTGGCTCTTAGTGAGTGGTAATATCTACATGTCCATCTCACATGTATATCTGAAGCTGGTGATATTATTTGAAAATTTCTTCTACTTTTCCCAATCTAATATATACCTTCAAACTGCCCTGCTGGAATTGTTTACATACCTTAAATGTCACTGATGTTTTTGAAACTGGACAATGTGACACAAAATGAGTGGGTAAGCCCCAGAAGGTAGGTATATTGTGATTTAAAGTCATGATATCAACAATCTGAATACAGTGTCCTGGTATATATCAAAACAGTTCCTTAATTTTGAACTTCCTTATGATAGGAAACTTGAAAAGGATGAATACTAGAATTCCAAAATAGAGGTGCTAGAATTACAGTAAAAAAAGTATTAAGGAAGTATTTGGCAATATTATTTGTTTGGGATTTCTTTGTTTTAAGAGAAGAAACAGAGCATGTCACTGGAGCTGTTGAACTAAGTAAATGGTAGGGTGCTAGGTAAGTTCCTCTTCAACAGTCCTGTTTTCGAATAAGAGACTTTCTAACGTACATTACGCCCTCATTCTACAAAATGAGTGGGTCACCTGTCAGTTAATGCCGTCTCAAGGGGGACCATTATAGAACATGTTGCTATGATAAAACAACACTTCTAGAACAAACCCTATAGTCTCAGCCCTGCAAAATGTAGTTTCCCTCTCTCCTTAATTCTTACTCTCTTGCTCTTGTTTTCTCTGTTCTCATTATCTGGTAACTTCCCAGAGAGACTTTCTTCTTACTTTATTTCTGGGCCTTGAGGGAAAAAGAATGACATTTCTTGTAATAGTAACAGTTAAAAAAAAAAAAAAAGGAATGGTTACTTTCTCAAATTCATATAGCAATTCAGGTTGAATCCTAAGAAATTATATTTCTTAACCCCCAAGACTTGACTTCTAGATTCCCTGTTTCGTCATTTGAAATGCTGTGGCATTTAAATTATAACTAGTTCCGTTGGGATTTATCCATCCTATATTATCTGCACTATAGCATTCTCTATAGCCAAGCGGCACTTAGAAAGGTATATATTTGTTCTCCCTTTTCAAAGCATCAAGGAAGTAATTTTTAACTCCAAATTTAAGAATCAATATGAAAGGTGATAGATACTTTAGCTCAGCAAAAATAGAAACCAGAGTGGGGAAAGTGGATATTTAATCATGATTTTTAAAATGAAATATTTATTGTATTATAAAGAAGCAATAAATGATGAAATAATGTAGTGGGTAAATCCATTTAAATTAAAGAAGAAAACTCTTTTTTAAGACTTGTAAATGGTATTTTTCTTTTTTATTTATATTGTGGCATCTCCACATTTTACAAAATTCTCACCATTTTACCCAACTTTTGGCATAACACTTATAAGCAACCCTGGTTAAAACAAAGAGCTGGATTTAAACATTAATATAATTTAAAAATCCCTTAAAATTTTTTTTCTAGCCTGAAAATTCCATTTACACTAGGTAAGGGGTATTTTCAATTTATATCCTCTCTAAAGCACTGAATTTTCCTTTTAAAAATTCACTTTACTATACCTTGAGTTTTTCTAATTGTGAGCATCCCTATCCCTAGATGAAAAGGCAAATTTTTTTTTAACAGCGCTAATAAGGTCAGTGTGAGGTCACGTTGGTAATTTTGTTGGTAAATTTGTGGTAATGTTGTCAAGAACTATGAGGCATCTGAAATTTTACCCAAATTTTAAGATAACATGCTCATTTACCACAGTTTTTTGGTTGCTCACAAAAGACACATGACTTCTGTGTCAGTTTTGAAAGACTTTATTACAAAAACAATAACCTAAATGTCAACATGTCATATTAGTTTCCCAAGTCCCAGTTCCCGGGGGTGGGGGGAGATGCAGATGGGCCCCTCTGGGTGACTGCATGTGCAACAGGTGGTGATCCAGGAGGGGAACCCTAAGCTTGGGGCATCTTCTGTTTGATGGCAAATAATAATCCAGCCTGCTGTTTGTCTCAGAAGGAGACATTTCCTCAGCTCTGAAGGTTGCTGGCTGCAAATCCAACACTGAGAAATGGTCCAAATAAAGAGGGGTCAGTGGTAGGCATTCTTGGCACACCAATAACGATGGGCAGGAGCACTAGTGACTCTCCCAAAATATATAGCACCGTGAAAGAAAGAGGAAGTCAGTGCTTTAAAAAACAATATTTGCTTTGAAAACCAATTCCATTCTTGATAAGTGAATTATTTGTTCAGCAAACAACCTCTTACTCCAAATTTGTTAAAGCTAGGTCAATATTCTCCTTCAATATTTGTGCCAAAAACCACTGTGAGAAAATGTGCTAGTGTCATGGGTAATATATGAATGACTGAATGTCACAGCTTGAGTATTTGCTCAGTAAAAAGTGAAGTGTATGATTTTAAAAATACAGCTTTCACTTTTTAAAAATTTTGTAAAATAAAAAGGATGTCATAATCTCATCTTCAGAATGGACTACTTTTAATGCCTCTATATCACATATATTTCTTTCTTTAATCTGGATTTTTGTCATAAGTTGCTGGTATTTTTGTTGCAAGCATCTGGAAGTTCTCCCTTTTCCCCCCTTTCCCTTCATTTCAATTCATTCCCCTCTCTTTATCAATTTTAGATATGGATATTCTTATTTACTAGAAAAAAAGTCATAATAGTTTCTTTTAGTGAAGTCTCTAAGCAGTGTGGTGAATAATTACCCTTCTTCTTAAGGGATTAATTCCTTTAGTATATTTTTACTGAACAATTACTGTGTGTCAGGTACTGTTGTAAATGTTGGGGATACAGCAGAGATCAAAACATACAAAAAAATCTAGAATATATTTTAAATTTGTGAAATTCAATAAAATATAATTAGCACCTAATAATCCACATGACAAGACTACCCCACTGCTTTTGCTCTTTGGATTCAGGAGTGAAATTGATTACCTTTTAATCCTGCTGGCGGTTGTTGATTACCCAAGGCTCAAGAGTCTGTTTCTTTTTTTTTTTATTATGTTATGTTAATCACCATACATTACATCATTAGTTTTTGATGTAGTGTTCCATGATTCATTGTTTGCGTGTAACACCCAGTGCTCCATGCAGTACGTGCCCTCTTTAATACCCATCACCAAAGAGTCTGTTTCTTACTCAAAGTGTCTATAGCCTTTGCCTTAAGGTATGGCAGTTTGTACCTGGAGTGAACAGTAGGTGGCGATGTTAGCACACAAGACCTCAGAATGTTGCTAAGGATGCTGTCATAAACCAGCCCCTGGATTCAAGTGGAGATTGAGCCATGAAACCTAAGAACCTGAGATACTTGTTTTCCATTTTAGAGTTATCTACTGTGTTGGCGAATTTACTGTTAAATCACTTAGCAACAAATATAAGAAGGGTTGATTGTCAATATGGGATGATAGCTGATTGGAGAAGAGTTTCTCTAATTACCAGATGGATGTTGCTAAGAGTTATTAGGACATGGCATGAAATATGAACATAGCACATATTATAGTAACTCATCTGGATCCCTCCCAAATTTTCATCTTTTATGATTATAGATTATCTTATTTATTGTATTTCTAGCAAGTTCACAAAAAAGGAGTTGGTTAAGGTATGTCAATCACCCAAAAAGTATTTATCATTGTTTAGAGAATGTGATCTGAATCAAACAGAGATAAATATAAATGTTATACAATATACAGTGTGAGCCTGTATTTATATGATTGAACCCGAAGCTGTAAAACATAGCTGATTGGTCATAAAGTCTCGTATCCCATGCTTCCCTTTCTCAGGCACATGATTTCTTTGTGGAAAGCAAGCTGTGAAGATTGAGGCCAAATCTACGTGGTGTGGTTCTTGGGTGGTCAGCCTAAAAACAAAAATGGAACAAAAGCTGGGACAGTTAGAGCAACACAGCAAAAGCAGTTTGAGATGGAATTGTCATAGGTTCTCCTGCTTCTGCCATCACTGCTGAAAGTGTCATGTCCTCTAAAAAGATGCTGTTGCTTTTTCAAGATATGTACAGCAATGCAAACCAGTAATGCCTCCAGCAACATAATTGTTTCAGATGAAAGCAAAATAAGTAAGGATGAAATTTGGTACATTTTTTTTTCATTTATATATAAGCTATTCTCCCATTTTCAAAATAGATACATTTTAGCCCAGATGTGGGAAACAATGAAGTAAAATGGCCCAGTTGTTCAGACTGAAGAATAAAGAAAC